GTGCGTAAAGCGATTTATTTTCAAGTATTATCGCAATTTCTCTTGGAAAAGAAAGAGCTGCAGTGATGTGTGATGCTCAATGAATGCACCTTGGCTACTTGATGCACTGAGGAAATGTCTGAGGATTTGCAGTGGACTGTAGGCAAGGACAAAAAGTGGTTGTCAGTGTTTGGAGATCGTGTATTACATGTTCAGCGTTTACTTGGATATATGTGGATGATTTGGTTCTCCTTTGTGTATACCACGTTCAAGAGCGCGCGACCGCTTTAAAGTTTACAAACGTAAACGTGCTCAAACGTCATTTAATTCTATTAGTTGGGTTGAATTGTAGGTTTATTTAACCCCTGATAGTCTTTGTGTTATGTTAAAACACTTTGTCACCTTATAGTTACAGCTCTTAAATGTACGTTTTGATCGTGGGATACAGAAAAAACGTGATTTTTTTTTGTCATTTTCTTTCAAAGTTTGTACTTTTATGTTTGTTTCCTTTTGCTTCATTTTATTTGATATTTATGTAATATATACGTTTGTATGCCCCAGTCCACTTACTGTGATTTCATTTTGGACATTTTCCATTTAAAAAGCTAAACATGGGCATTTCTTACTTTTAAATATGGCCATGCACACTGTGCTTTGTTCTGCTGTCTTGTAAAAGTGTTACAACCTCAAACATCTATCTATCTATCTATCTATCTATCTATCTATCTATCTATCTATCTATCTATCTATCTATCTATCTATCTATCTATCTATCTATCTATCTATCTATCTATCTATCTATCTATCTATCTATCTATCTATCATCTATCTATCTATCTACCTATGGCTTTTATGTTAAATGTTACCTTCTGTTTTAGTTTTCCATCGTTATCATTTCTGCAGTTACCTCAGGAGGAAGGTTTTCCATGCATAACAGGGATTTCTCGTTCTTAAATGCCAAACCGATGTTCTACTCTGTGTTACTTCATTCATAATGCCACATCTAGTTATTATAGCTCACATATACTATTATTAGACAACACTAACAAGAGGAGAGCGAGGGGGGGAAAAGGAAGCGTCTGGTGGTCTGAAAGGAGGAATGTAGGAGTAGCGGTTGATGAAAGCCTTGGAAGGAATTAATTAAAATATTTGCTGGTTTCCTCCCCATCGCCTGAAGTGTTTTGAGCTGAGTTTGCTGTGACGTGCAGGGGATAACTGCTGGAGAAAGTCACTGTCATTATTATACAGCGCTAAGAACGCTGGCCAGCATTTGCACTTTATTGAGAACAGTTGTTAGATCTTCTTTGTTCCAGCCAACTGTTTTCCCTTATTGTTGGTCCATTTTTTGCGTAAATCCTTGCATTCTTGCATGACAGAACTGCAGCTAAATTGTTTTGATTTAACATCTTATTTATGCGAAGCCTTCCAAGACCGTGTTTTATTGCTGTGGTGGGAAATCCAGCCACAGAGATTGGAAAATTGCACTGAGTGACTTTAAGTTTGTTTTGCTTCTGTGGACAGCTCAAGATGCATGGCTTCAAACGTATGCTAATATTTTCCCTCATTGCCTTGCGTTGTAGAACCACGTCCACCACCGCAGGTTTGATTTATGCCACCGAGTGCTTGTATTTACGCAAGATCTGAAGATCGAAGAGCTCTCAGGCTGTATGTGTGTGGTGAAAATCTCCCCCGCTGTATTTGTTTTCTCAAAACATTAAGTCTGACTGTAAATCAAGGGGTTAGAGCTTATTTAGAAACTACAAGCTCCTGAAGCTCTTGCATGACTTAGAAGTTCACTAAATGTAGGGTTTGCTTGAACTTCTAGCTCTCTCCCCTGTTTTTTTGACAAATTTCTTGCTGGGGCTGTTGAAAAAAAAATGCAAAAGCAATGGGGGGGATACTTAACCTCACATAAATCCTACCTTATGACAGCAGCTTTTAGAGATTTTAATAATACACCCCCTTTAAAAGTATGTTGACAAATTAGTAGTACTTCCTAAGGTCTCTAATTTTTTTTTCTTGTTTATAATATATCAAAATGTTAACTCAGGGAAGATGGTTTAAGTCATTTAAAGGATTGAATGATTAGAGAAAAAATACATATACAGTGCACCTTTAAAAAATGAAAATATTGATCAATTTCTCAGTGAATATAGACAATATTATTGGTGCATATAAATAAAACTTTTATTTAATAGTTTTATATTTATTAAAATAAGGCTTAGTTCACCTAACATCTTTAGGTATAGAAAGATAATGCATTTAATGTCAAACGAGATATTGCAAAAAAATTACACACTAGACAATTTAAATAATATAGTATATTTTTATATATTTTTATTGCTGATGATGATGAAACATAATTTAATAGATTTAAATAGACTCAATTAGACAGAAAAATCCTAAGTGAAAGCTATATGTATACGTGTGTATATATATATATATATATATATATATATATATATATATATATATATATATATATATATATATATATATATATATATAGATAGATAGATAGATAGATAGATAGATATAGATGAAGATAAAAAAAATTGATAAAATAAACTAAACGCAAAAAATAGATCTGAAATATTGGGAAAACGTTTGATATAATCTTTACTTTGAATTAATTAGTAGCATGAATGTCCACTTGTCACATTAAAGACAAAGTGTACGTTTTAGGGATTGATCACACTGAAAGCGCTTGTTTGTGTTGAGAGGCAAATTTTTCAATGAATTACTAATAGCTGTGAGCATTGTGCGTGCTGCTTATGCGCCCTGCGCGCCTTGCATTTTAACCACCTGCTGCGCTTTGCGTTTTTGCCCTTGCGCACTGTGCTCGCAGTTGAAAAAAGTAAACTCTAAACGGAAAAGCGAGTTACATCAATCGCGTATGTTTCATTGTCCAATCAAATGAAAGCAGAGGTGGGTTTCTGTTGAGGTGACAGCAGTGTTTATGTTGTCAAGAAGCCTGCTGCATCCCAAATGGCACACTATACATTGCACTTATGAACTATGTACTTATGCACTTACAAACTCAGCAGCATAGTATATGTATGTAGTGTCATCCCAAATGGAACACAAATTTTTTTTTACCAAGCGGAAATTCAAACCATTTCCCATGACGTTTGACGGTTTCCAAATTACTGAAATAAATGACCAAATTACCAAATATTACCTGCCATGAATATAACCTCATTTCGCAATCAGAAGGCGCTATAACCACTTTTGTAGGAAAATTTTGCTTTGCTTTCACAATCTAAAATAAATAAAGGTTTCCAACATGTGCCCGAAAGCTCCGCCCCTACCGCTACCTGAGCAAAGCGGTTATTGAGTGCGTGCAGTGTCCATCATTCCACACTTTTTTTTACCGGTTGAATAAGTGCGTCATCCGAGCAATTAAAGTGCGCTTATTATATTTTGAGTTTTCAGTGTGAATGCACTACTTGCACTATTTATACTACAATATGGCATTGAATAGTGCATAAGTACGCGATTTGGGACACACTTTGAGACTTTTGAAGGTGAAGGAGAGACTTGTGGTTGCTGTTTTGAGTTATCCGGAGCTGTATGACAACATTATTAAATTGTAAAATTATATTAATATCAACAGCAACACTCGCGCACAATAGTCAGCTGATTCAGTTGTTTTCTAGCGACAAAAAAGCGCAGTGCACTTCTTTTTTTTTTTTTCTTATCAACAAAAAAGGCAGTGTGTAATCAGCTTCTTAATTTGTTAATACGTCTCCCCTTATATGTTTCTGTTAATTCACTGAATGAAAGTAATAGGAGTTCTCTGATTGGTAAGCAAGAGAGGCACTTTTTAACTCGTTACCTGATTGGCTCACATCAGGTTTTATCCATATTTGAGTCATTCATTCTGTGATTGATCCTGTGGTCTGTTAACAAATGCCGCAAATGTGCATTATTCTGGCTATCTACACCGGGCTTGACATAGCGATTTGTTCTCACCTTGGATCAGCACACGTGAAACAAATAAGGAGCCAGAGGACCCGATTAAACTAGGTAAAGCCAGGCTTTTTCTGTTATCCTGACTTTCGTGATTCCACTTTTGTGCAATACCCCTCTGTTTGAATTTTTGAACACAAAAGAAGATAATTTGAAAACTGCTGGTACCTGACATCCATTGACTTTTCAGTAATTTTTTCCTTACTGCCTAGCATTCTTCAGAATATCTTCTTTTGCATTTAGAAAGAAAGAAAGAAAGAAACTCTTAAAGGTTTAAAAGAACATGACAGAGATAAGTTCATGTTCAATTTTGGGGGAACTATCCCTTTAAACCCCTTGTACTTTGTTAACAACAATAGATTTCCTTTCAAATTTGACAAAATAGAAATTTTAGTCATAATTAAACCCAGCATGTATAAAAACTGTGCTGAATAAACTCTTTGGATATTTCCATTTTCTAGGACGCCATGAGAAATAAATTTTAGTAAACACCGCACGTTGCCTCCTAATTCACAACAGGACTCTCGGTGGAGGGGATGGATACAGAAACCTGCTTTCTTAGACCTAGAATTTATGGTGCGCTTGTAAGGTAAACAGTCAGGCTTATTATTTGGGGTCCCAGGAGGCTACGCCAGCCCCCTCCTTCCCCCCCTCCTCAGGGCTTTGATCAGCGTTAGCCGGTGTCGAGACGAGCTGAGGGGAAGTTAGAGGGAAACCTTGCGCACAGACAGGCTTGTGTTTGACAGTTTAATACCAACAGTCTCACCAAACTGCCCCGAAAGGAACAGCTGCTTACACACACTCACACACACACACAAACACACACTCATTGAGTTCTCCAAAACTCTTTACTCTAGAGGGTGTGTTGTGTTCCGTGGCAGCAAGTCGTTCTTGTCTTCTTGTTTTGTGTTTGAAGCCTTGGGTAGTGTTGGATGTTTCCTCGTTCACAGCTGTTGTAGATTACATGTTGCCTGCTTGTCTCTCGCAGGGTTATGCGCTTCCCTGAACCGTTCTCACAGTTACAGAAGGTCTCGTCTTTTGGATTTAAA